ATATATATACACACAGAAAGCGTCGCGCTGCAGGCCCGAGTTTTGAAGCTTTCTGTTTTTCCATACTATAGGCTCGGATGTTCATATATACATATATAGCAACCTTGTAGCAACCTTAAGCCCTAAACCTGAGACCCTAAACCCTAAACCTCAAACCCTGAACCCACATAGTAGCCGTGTAGCAACCTTAAACCTTAAGCCCTAAACCCTACACCTCAAAACCCTAAACCCACAGAACAACTTAATCCCTAAGCCCTCAACCGCGCACCGAAAACCCCCACATCCTCTCTGCAGGACCTGGCCGAGGTGGCGGCGGCCTTCGCGAAGATGCGGATGCCCAGCGACATCTTCGGATCTGTACCGGGGCCAGCGAAGTTTGGGGGTTTTCAGGGGTTTATAAAGGGTTTTCTAGGTTTTGGGGGTTCTGGGTTTGGGCTTGAATTAGGGTTTAGGGGTTTCGAGTTTAGGGCTTCGGATTCAGGGAATACCAACACAATGAAGAATAACTACATTGAAGCCCTGGGCACAGACTTAACTTAAATGGTATTGATATATTTGATGCTAGAGGTATAGATATATTATTTGATCCTTCCGTTTAAGAATGGTAACAATACAGTTCCGGTTACGACAGATTTGTTGGACACCTGCTTAAATGGAGATGCTCAACTCTATGTGTATGTTAGTCAAGAAACAGAAGAGTGGTAACCTTTTTAACCTTTCTGGGGTACTAGAACCTCTACAGAATCCGAAAGGTCAACCTCTAGTTCCCCTATCTAGGTAGGCCTGTGGGACATTTTGTGTTTTACCGTATTGGGTCTAAGCCTCGCAGAAGACACGAGGCCGACGACACAAGAACCCAATGCAGTCTCCCCATGTCAGGTTTCTGGAGGACGATGCCGAGGTAAACACCCTCTGTAAGCTGACAGATCTCTCCATTCTCAGCATCTGTGCTTAAACTTCAAACACTGCAGCAAGCCGAAGCCCTAACACGCTAGACCCAAAACCCCAAACCCTGAACTCCAAGCCCTCAGCCCTAAACCCCAAACTCTAAACCCTAAACCTTAAACCTCCGAATTTTGAAGTCCAAACCCTGAGCTCTTTTGTAGAGACCTTGCCTCATGACAAACCCCAAAGGTACTGGACTTGCGCATGGACTCGGAGTGCTTCGGCGCATAGTTGTATGGCTGTTCTGGGTTCCCTGTTGAGGCTTTAGGTTCAGGGGTTTAGGGTTTGGGGGTTTGGGGGTGTACGGCTTTAGGTCTTAGGCTCTTAGTACAGGGTTTAGGGCTTTGGGCTCAAAGGCCTGCCAGGTTTCCCAGCGAGGTCCCCAAAAAACTTAGACAGCGAAGTCCTGCCACCCCACCCCGGCGCGTCTGAGTCTACAAACCCCTGCGGCTTAGCGTTTAGGATTGGGCTCAACCTCGACTTTTCCCTGTAGGGTAGCAACTAAACCCTAAACCCTAAACCTTATAAGCCCTAAACCCCCAAACCCTAAACCCCTAAATCCTAAACCCCCAAAACCCCTAAAACCCCTAAACCCCTAAACCCCTAAACCCTAACGAGAAGGACTGGAGCCCCAGCGTAGTGTGAAAGCTGCTGCTTCTGCATCTCATACTTGGGAGGATCAGGGGACTTCGTAAATACCATGAGCTACGGTCAGTTAGCCAAGCTATCTTTGCTTAAAGCCCTAGCTACTAGCTCCCATGATCCTTTCAGTATTGGTTGATCATGATCTGGAACTATTGGATTTCTGGTGTAGTCATCATTACGGAGACTGTAGGGTACTGTCCATGAAAATGCTCATAGCGGCAGTTCCAAACTGAAAGTTTCCCGCCGAAACCTAAACCCCCAAACCCTAAAGCCCTAGACCCTACATCCTGAACCCCAAACCTCAAAACCCTATCAGACCCAACATCACGCGCAGCTTGAACATCGAAGCCGGGGCTACCCCAAACCCCCCGACCCTAAACCCTAAATCCGTAAATTCTGAATGCTTAAACCCTAAAGCCCTAAACCCAAATCCCTGAATCCCTAAATCTCTAAACCCTAAGGGTTTTAGGGTTGCCCCGAAGTCGTACAGAGCCCGAAACCCTAATTTGCCCGAAATGCTAGAGCTTACAGTGCCCTAAATCCCAAACCTCGTTTGCTACATGCCGGGAATTCCTAAACATGAACCTAAAGGTCGGAAATGCACCAGAAAGCCCTACTCGAAATACTAAATGCCCGTAAGTCCTTGAACCCTTATGGAAGCCGTTATTAGTAAAGGAACCCTTCTAAGCTAGTTATTAAGGACGCTGCATGAGGTCAAAGCCCTCATCCACCCCTCCAGGTCCATGCTGCCGAATCGCGACCTTTGCTTCCTTCTCTGGGCGGCTGCTCGCGTGCCTGGCTGGGGGCAGCGCAGGCTTTGAGCCAAATACCCCTCAATTTATCGAGAACATACCTTGGACTATCCTTAAGATGCGGAATAGCCCCTACATTATCACGACAAGCTCAGTACATATTCATTGCTTCTACGAGCCAGGTTCACGGCCCTGGCGGTGGCAAGCATCGCAGTCCAGGACACGGCGAAGATCTCGACTCAGGATCTTTGCGACCTTGCTGTGAAGATCTCTGGAAGCAGAGGCTAGCTGGATGAAGGAGGGCTCAATAATTGCAAAAAGCGCAACATTGATTCACAATCCCCATATTGTAATACATCTACACTAGAACATATCCCGAGTTTCTGTTCCAAGTATTCAAAACCCTCATTCTGGGGTTGTTGAACGAAGGGCTTTGGAGCTCTGTGATGGTGACTGACTGAGCTCTGAGCTTGTGGTCAGTAGGGCTCGGGGTTCTAGAAGCTGTTGATAATATAGGGATCTTAATAATTAGAATGGGGTTTTGGGGCGATTGCACACAGAAGTCTGAGGCGAGTACTGTAAAGGGGTTGCGGGGGACATTCTACGATATTTATAGTAAGGAAGTAAGGAACCCCCGAAGGTAATGATTCAGGCCCCTATAATGTAGGGAACTTGCTGGGGTTTTGGGCCGTCTAGTTTAGGGTTCAGGGCTGCCGGTTTGGAATGCCGGTTTGGGGGATTGGGGTGGCTAATGCAATAAAGCATGAGCTCATGGCCGCAACAGAGAGGGTTGTATTGAGTTGCATCTACACAGGCAAATCCGCATATCTTCCAACTTTCAAGAGGCCCCTGGTGCTTGAGTGCGTCCACAAGCCCCCAGTGAGGCACTGTCGTGCAGTCCCTCGTGCGTCTTGGCAGAACTCGGTCGTACAGTTTAATAAGGCCCGGAGCCACGGGTGAAGGACAAAGAGCCTGCAGCTTGAATAGCTCTGGTACACTGCAGCGCCTGCATAATGTTGAATGGTCATTGAGTCCGGAAGTGGGGTTCCTTATTATGATTGTAGTATAGTATCATGGACCCCAAAACTTTGTTCTAACTATTAAGGTCCCTACATTAAACTCCTGCAAAGATCTCAAGCACCTAAACTCCCAAGCTCCAAAGCTTCTAAACCCCGAACTGACTCCTACCACCCTTAACTCCTACACTTCTATTTAGGAGACGCGAAGTAGCGCACTTCTAAACCCTACACCCTCGCACCGTCTAAAGCTCCTAAACCCTAAACCCCTTAAACACACCAAGACAAAATTGAGCCTTGAATCATGCGAAGAGGCTTCACGGAAATCCTTGTAGCAACCCTTGAAAGCACCCTTAGTAGGTACCCCTACAGACCCCTTTAAAAAGGTTCACTTTCTAAAGTGAAGTTCACGCTTTACCCTATGTGTGCAGTTCTCTAAATTAGGATCCTTTTCACAAGGGTGCCGTAACATTTTGGGGACTTAAAAATGGACCCTAATTTGGAGAACTCCCCATATCTCCGTACCCTATGCCTTCCACATAACAGCCTACTCATTAATCTCGTATACAGGAAGCCTGAAAACCAACCGTCAAACCAGAAGCCCTATTGAACACCCTAAAAAGAAACCCTCCTGAAACACTGAACCCCTAAACCCCTCTAAACCCTAAATCGAAAACTCCAGCCCCCTAAAACCAAACCCCCTAGTCCCCTCCTAGAGCCCCTAAACCCCCGATTCCCTAAGCCGCTAAACCGAAATCAGAATCTTCGACGCGGCCCTAAACCCCCAAACCCTAAAACCATAAACCCAAAACCCCCAAAACCTAAAACTAGAAACCCTAAACCCCCAAACCCCAAAAACACAACCCCTTCAAAAACGCTCCGCGACTGCTCAAAGGAAGCTCCCGGAGCTCCCGGGTGCTCTCGACCTGGCGAGCAGCCTCTGCGAGGTTGGCCTGAGCCGGCCTCTCTTGGAGAAGGCGCTTGGGGAGCTTTTGGGGAGCCGTTTTCTCGTCGGTTTTTATCTATATTCAAGGTGTAGTTTAGGGTATTGGGTTTGGGGAATATGTAAACGTGCCAGACAGGTTGTAAACAAATAGAAGGGTTTCCTGAGGTGATTACAAGGTATGAACTGTGATTTATGGGGGGGATAATTTGGCACCCTTCGGAGAATTTGTAATTTTCAGGTTTGGCAGATTTCACAATGAGTTTAGTCATAGTTCTCAAGGTTCGACTGTTTGCGTGAACCCGAAGCCCCAAGCCGTGACACCCGGGAACCCCAACCTCTTATACGAGTCCCAATCCCCCACGGAACCAACCCGCTAAAACCCGGCGCTAAACCTCAAAACATGGAGCACCGAAGCCTTCGAGCCCAAAAATCAAAGGCGAATGGCCCGAAAGCCTGTTCTCCCCCCTAACCTGCTAGCCCGAAATCCCTAAGAACCCTGCCGCCTACCCTGAAGCCCTAATATGTTCGAGGTCTCAGGCTATAAATCCTGAGACCTGCAACCAGATTTCAGGTCTCAGGGTATAGCCTAAATCCTGAGACCTGAAAGCATCACGAAAGTTCCCCAACTCTAAGACCCTAAAAAACCCACCCCTAGGGTGTTAAATGTAGGGCTCTTAAACCGTGATAGCCCAAATCTTGAAAGCCCTCCAAGCCCGTAACTCCACGGCCTTCAACCCCTGGTACTGAAGCATTTAGCGGTTTAGGGTTGAGGGCTTAGGGTTTACTCCCCACGCACAAAGCCCCTTACACCACCCTGACTCCTAGGTCCACAACCCCCTGAAACTCCAGGACCGCCGCTGTCTTCTGCGCGCCCTGCAACAGCACATCCCCGAGGCCACATGGGCCGGTAATTCCTTTCCGTCCCTGCGGAGTGTTGTTGGAGGGTTAGGGGACTGATGGTCTAGGGGTTTCAGGGTTTTCAATTTCGGGCTTGGGGTTTCGGTTTAGGGTTTATAGGGTGGAGGATGGTTTAGGATTTTTGGCTTTAGGGCTTGGGTTTAGGGTTTGGAGCTTTATGTTGGGCACTCTGCTAGGTTGGAGGACTTTCCGTGTGAGAAGGTCTTCGGAATCCTTCTTGGATGTCACGAGTTTTCCACTGCGAGGATTTGTTGCTGTAGCTGGCCACAAGCTCTGCAGCCACGTGGAAGCTGAGGTTGAAGAGCCATGAGAAATTCTTATGAGTTTCATAAACGTTCAGTCTTAAACGCTGAGGAGTCTCACTTGCGAGCTGCTTAGATTTGTTTTTTTGGGGGTGCACATATTACACGGGACCATAAAGAAAATAGGCAACCCTCAACTGTACTAGTACTACTGAATCGGGCCCCTGGATTTCATGGGAGTTGAAAGCCTCTCAGCTTCGGCTCAAGGACATCGGGGATAGTTCCGCGTTGGGGAGTGGGGTTTGGGGTTTGGGGTTTAGGCGTTTGGGGTTCAGGCAATTGTGGGTTTTAGGGGTTTTCTGTGTCCAGCTTGGTCGAGGCCAGGCTTAGGCTAGTTGGGGTTTCGGGCAGAGTGCACACCGTAGAACCCAGCGGGGATTGAGACCTCAACCCAATGATTACAAGGCCCAACAGCTCTTCACCCTCAAATTCCGGTTCACACCGCAATACTTAAGGCATCATGGGACTTAGCAACTAGGGTATCAGTATTAAGGCAACTTCACTTATGATGGCTTATAACCCTAATTAGGGTACTTATGGCCTTAAGTACGACTTCTGATGATGCTCCAAGTAGCTTCCTAAACCCAACGCATAAAACCCTAAACCCTTACTAAGCCGTAAACCCTCCTTGTAGGAGGATGCCGCCGCCTTTCGTCTTCCACCGGGTCTCCAGTTTCAAGCACAGGCGACGAGGGGGAAGGGCATCGGGCTTAGGGTTTAGGGAATCGCTGCATCTGAAACATCCTCAGTCTCAGACTTTTGATCCCAAGCCTGGGAATTTAGGCTTGCTTGGAAGCAGCGTTGAAAAGATTTGGTTACTCTAAACCCTAGAAGTCTGCAAGGCTACTAACTTTCAGTAGAGGGAAGCCCGAGCTCTGCGCACAAACAGCCCGATCGATATAGAAACTCATAGAGTCGAGCCAGCCCTCTGAGAACCCCTGTGCACCCCCTGCAGCCGAAATTCTGAACTGGAATTCTCACCCTAGTGGCATTCGGCAATGAACAGAAGTGTTTGGGGGTTTAGGATTCAGGGGGTGTGGGACAGCAGTGTTTGGATCTCAGAGATGAGGATTTGCGCAATTGGAGCGATACGCATTAAGGGGTTTGGGTTTGCGGACACTCCTGAAGGATGGATGCGCGAGAGATGATGTGGCGGGCTATCCAGCATCTTCCGGCATGTCGCTTGCCAGGCACTTCTCGTGATAATGGTCTATTCTTACTCTTTGCTGTGCTTGGTGCACATGTCAAAGCCTTCGCTTTGTTGCCTTGAGTTTGAAATTGCTGCAAGGAATGTCACTCTGTCAGTTTTAGTTGCATGCAGTCTTTCGTCGTCCAACTGCACCCCGCTACCTGTAATGCTGCAACAGTCCTCCTCCTGCTGCACCTGCCATCACCTCGCTGCCACGCCAGCGTCACTTCGTGCTGCAGGAACAAGAGCATATCGACTGAGTTGAAGGCGCTCGCAAGAGCACAGCCGCAAGAGCTACAGTGGTAAGAACCGATAGGAACGGTGCTAAGAATGCGAAACAGATGTCCTGGCAAGGATGCAAGTAGACACGTTGGCAGCAAAAGTGTCACCATTAGCAGTAGGATCCGCAGCCATGCAAAATGCAATATCGATGACGACATCTGCAAATCCACCCAATGAGCGCTAATCAGAACCTCATTGCCCAGACCTGAAGCGCTATACCACTACTATGCCCGAAGGGTTCCTTACCATAGAGATAGTAAGCTGCACCTGCCTGCAAACCCTTGCACACTCATAACAGCAGCCTCTACGCCCTAAACCCATATTGAAATTGTAATCATGAAGGACGCTATGTTGCTCGATTTTTGGTCGCCCAGGTTTGCCACGGATCTCGCCCTCCAAAGCCATACTACAAGCAGCTAGGATGCAAGAGTTTAGTGTTCAGGGTTTAGGCCTCCGGGCTTCAGGTTTAGAGACTTTAACTGTTTGAGGCTGTACGGGGTGTTTGGTGGTTATACGGTTCGTCGAGGTTTGGGGTTTGGGGCTCAGGGCACAATGATCTGGGTGTTGGCCGAAGAACGGGCCACAAACCCTGACCCTACAAACCCTCACACTCTTACACCCGAATCCCTAGATGCAGGAACACTGTGAACCTGCAAGCCCATGAAACTTTAAGCCCTCAACCTGTAGCCCCAAGGCCCAACCTCTATATCCTAAGCCCTGAAGCCATACCCTGAGCCCTAAACCTCCTAAACAACCCTTGCCCTCAAGCCCCTAAGTAAGAGCCACAGTTGTAGGATCCGAGACAAGAACACCGAGATAAGGCACCACTACTTTCTCAAGACTTCATGTGAGCGCTTAGCTCCAAAACCCGACAACAAGACCCCATTGACACAGAGCCCGACAAGATCCGAATTCCTTCTGCCCTAAATCCTCTTGAAGAGTCTACATACACACCAAAACACACAGTAAGCTAACAGGAGCTAACCGTAAACCCCAAAGGAAACCATAAGTTCAGGTTGCGAAGGCCACGGCCACGGACATGGCCACAGCCACAGCCACGGGACCTGCCATGGTAGCGGTCATCATCACGATGAGACCCCCTGCCGCTTCGACGGGGAGAGTGAAGGGTTCCTTGGGGGCCTCAGGGTTCAGGGGTTGGGGTTTACAGGATTTCGGTAGCATGTCTTGGGGGTTAGGATCCAGTGTTGGGGCTTCAGGGTTTGGTTAGTGTGCCTTGGGGTCGAAGGGGCTACAGAGCTTCTATGTACAGTTGCTGCACATCTGTAGATAGATCACCCCTACACCAAAACCTTACGCTGAGGCCACCACGGCTGTCACCACGATCATGCAGGCCACCAGCACGAAGAAGGCAGCGGGCGCACCTCGGCGGTCATATAGAGGTGAAGGGCGGAGGTCGCAGGATTCGCGGCCGCGGCCTTGAGTCAAGATGTCTAGGCATCACCCTTCAAGCCCGACACCCTAAATTCCGAAGCCTGACTCCAAAGAGCAACTAGGAAGTTTAACTCTATGAGCTCTCATAGCCCAAAAATGAACCCCCCCCAAAAGCCCCTAAACCCCTAAAGCCTAAACCCAAAACCCTAGCCATAAACCCTAGATCCCGAAGCCCTGACTCCCCAAAAGGCCGGAATAGTGAGAGTCTAAATCGAGCTGCAACGAAACAGGCTGGAACCTGCGGGTTTTAGAACACAGTATTAGGGCTTTGGGGTATATTATGCTACAATTGTAATCAAGAAGCCCCAAAATGGTAGAGGTAATTATTCAGGCGCCTATATTAGGGCTTTGCAGGCTGTGGGTTTTCTAAAGTTGCGAAGGCTTGACTAGGGTTTGGCAGGGCTTTATGAGGGTTCTGTAGGGTTAGAAACCCGGAACCCATGCACTCCTGCCTTAACCCTACAAGCCCTATACTCTAGACTCAGCCAGGCCTGATTACTGATGTGAGGTGATGTTCCTCGAAACGCGTCTTTCGAGCCTCCAGTCCCACCAACTCTCACCCGGAGCTGTGACTGAACTGTAATAAGTAATGAGGGGCTGCTCGGTGCTTTTTATGTAGATTTTATGGTTTTTTCCATGAACTTAAAGTTTTCAGCTAGAACAACTGCACAATGTTCCCTCACAGCCCTCTGGCATACTAAACCCTAAACAAGAGAAAAACCAGAATCTTATTCTGAAGGCCTTGCCCGCGCCGGAGCCGAGAGTTTTCAGACCCTGGCATTAGGTTTCTGGATGTTCATGAGTTTAGAGTTTAGGATTCACGGCGATTCCAGGGTTTATAGGGATCAGCGTCTAGAGCCTAGGGAACCCTAAATGATACAGTATGGTACGCCCTGGCGGCGTGTATTTTCGAGTCATAGATTTGGATGGGTTTCGGTGTCTACGTCTTGTTGCTGTAGGGATCCCTAGTCCTAGCTCCTCTTGGAAACTGAAGTTTGACACTGTAGAAAGGGA